CAAAACCTTGTTGAAACGTTGTACATTTGCTGTTATGTTAAACTTATATTAAAGTTTTTCTTCATTACCCATTCAAGCTGTCTCCAACCATTATTAGTCTCAAAGTGGATTCCTCTTCATCGAATTTAACAAGTATATTTACTTTACGCTTATACTTGCACAGTTGCAACACGTGCTTAGTTTAACAAGTATATTTACTTTACGTTTATACTTGCACAGTTGCAACACGTGCTTAGTTTAACAAGTATATTTACTTTACGTTTATACTTGCACAGTTACAACACGTGCTTAGTTTAACAAGTATATTTACTTACGTTTATAGTTGCACAGTTACAACACGTGCTTAGTTTAACAAGTATATTTACTTTACGTTTATAGTTGCACAGTTACAACACGTGCTTAGTTTAACAAGAATATTTACTTTACGCTTATACTTGCACAGTTGCAACATATGCTTAGTTTAACAAGTATATTTACCTTACGTTTATAGTTGCACAGTTGCAACACGTGCTTAGTTTAACAAGTATATTTACCTTACGTTTATAGTTGCACAGTTACAACACATGCTTAGTTTAACAAGTATATTTACTTTACGTTTATAGTTGCACAGTTGCAACACGTGCTTAGTTTAACAAGTATATTTACCTTACGTTTATAGTTGCACAGTTACAACACATGCTTAGTTTAACAAGTACATTTACCTTATGTTCATAGTTGCACAGTTACAACACGTGCTAAGTTTTTAAAACATTTTTGTGTGAAAAAGCTATCAATTTGAGCTATATTAACAATCTGATTTTAATGTTTTTTGCTTTTTTACTGAGAGGGCCGGGCGTGATATAGTGATTAATGTATTAGACTGAACCCGAGGATCTGTGCATGGTTTGCGTACTGTTGCCTCAACTTTAAGGCCGTAGATGCGTAATAAGGGTAACAGTCAAATTCCATTATTCGGTCAGACAAGAGCTGCCTTTCTTCCGGTTGATCAGTTTAAAATTAGGGAGGGCTAGCTTCTGATAACCCTTGTGTGGAATTACTTGAAAATCGGAAGCAAAGAAACTTTAAGTGGACTGAACAAGGTTGTCTAAACTTGAGTGGCTCATAACAAAACAAACTAAGACTAGATCTAATAGTGTAGATTTAGAAAATGATCTATGTTTAACATAAACTTACTCAGGGTCATTAAGTTCTTTGTTTTGAAACGCTGAGCGAACTAACAGTTGATTTCCTAATCGATGCTTTGTATAAATGAAAATTTTCAAGAAGTTCCATGGCTACTACAGTCTCTCATATATGAAGTGTCAATGGCTGATCAATAGAACGTCAAGGGGTTTTGGTTTTCTTTTAGGTTTAAATCTGGAAATGTGGTATGTCGTACCGATATTAGCAACTTGATATTATAAATACTCTCAGACCTGACGTTAGGAGTGGTGTTATCCCTTTCTTGCATCTCAGTCTGTATAACTGTATAACCTGAGAGTTGATGTTAGGAATTATTTTATTCCCATCTTGCCTCTCAGTCTGTATGATTGTACAATCTGAAAGTTGATGTTAGGAGTATTTTATTCTCATCTTGTCTCTTAGTCTGTATGATAGTTTAACCTGAGAGCTGATGTTAGAAGTATTTTATTCTCATCTTGCCTCTTAGTCTGTATGATAGTTTAACCTGAGAGCTGATGTTAGAAGTATTTTATTCTCATCTTGCCTCTTAGTCTGTATGATAGTTTAACCTGAGAGCTGATGTTAGAAGTATTTTATTCTCATCTTGCCTCTCAGACTTTGTATTCAATGATCTGAAAATAAAATTGTATAAATAATGAAAGATGTGATGTAAGGAATGATTTTATCCTCATATTTTCTTGCAGTCTGTAGGATTATATAAATAATCTCAGAGCTGATATTAGGAGTGATTTTAACCACACCTTCCCTTCCGACCGTTGTATTCTATGGACTTATATAAAGGATGTCCAACAATATTTTCAATTAAAATAATTTGTTGTTATTTCTTTGTAATTCGTTTTATCTGTTGTTTGACATTAATATCAGATTTTTGGTTTAAACCTATTAGTTTATGTGCCTTTTTTTTTATCGACTTTATATATTTCGTTTCATTAGAAATATGAAGAAAAAGTTAAACACAACATATTCTGCAATTGTTATTTCTAAGAATAGAAAATTCAAAGTTTATCAGTCACTTTACATTTGAAGTATGCTAATTCTCTATGGTCCAAAGTTTTTGAGGTTTAGTCACTTTACATTTGAAGTATGCTAATTCTCTATGGTCCAAAGTTTTTGAGGTTTAGTCACTTTACATTTGAAGTATGCTAATTCTCTATGGTCCAAATTTTTGAAGTTTAGTCACTTTACATTTGAAGTATGCTAATTCTCTATGGTCCAAAGTTTTTGAGGTTTAGTCACTTTACATTTGAAGTATGCTAATTCTCTATGGTCCAAATTTTGAAGTTTAGTCTACTTTACATTTGAAGTATGCTAATTATCTATAGGTCCTAAAGTTTTGAGGTTTAGTCACTTTAC